AGCCCGAGCGTCAGCACCGCCTGCTCCGGCATGCCGTGGAACTGCAGCTCCGGCGCCACCTCGCGGCCGCGCTCGTCGAAGCGCAGCTTGGTCGGCGCGCTGAAGCGGTAGAAGCGCTTGAGCGGCATCTCGCCGCCGTAGGCCAGCTTCGGGTTGAGGATGACGCGCACGTAGGCGCCCTGCAGCTTGACCGCCGTGCGCAGGATCGTCGACCACTTTTGCGCCGCCTCGGACAGCGGGTCGATCAGCACCGACAGGCGCAGCGCCGCAGAGGCGCGGTCGCCGAGCTCGAAGACGTGCTCGTCGGAGCCCAGCGCCTCGAGGATCGCCGTCCGCGGCGTCTTGCCCTTGACAAAGATGCCCTCATCCGCAGGGTCGACGGCATAAGCCCGAGTCGCAATCGAGACGACGGCCGCCACCAGGTCCGACCGCTCACGCGCAGGCAGCCGGTCAAAGTCAGGCTTGAGCGTCGTCAGTGCACGCACGACGGCGTCGACCTTTTTGGCCGATTCGACGGTGAGGAGCGCCGCGATGTCTTCGGGCCCAATGTCACTCGCCTTGAAGCCCTGAACCACCTTCCCGTGCACCAGCAGCGCCGGTCCTCGGCTGGCGTCGAGACGCAGCGTCGCAGCCACGCTGGCACCTGCGCGCTGCCAGAATTTGTCTGCCGCCGCCATCGCGGGTGTAGCCCACGCTCGCTCTGCCGCGCTACCGGCGGCCGCATCGTGCTCGAGTGTGGGCTCGTGCTGGTTCGCTGGAGCGCTGGGTCCGTCGATCTTGTCATCCTGGTCGAGGTTGTCGCTGAGGGGCACGTACGCCGCGACGGCCTCGGCAAGCTGTGCGGGAGCAAGTCGCTCGATCGAGCTATCCTGCATCAGCCGGTGCAGATACGCCGAGAGCGGCGGGCTCGAGGACCCGAAGCGCTTGGTATCGACGTCTCCGACCACGGGGACATGGAGAAAGCCGATGCGGAAGCGCTCGCTCGCCTTTCCGGCCTGCTGCGACGCCGAGATGACTTTAAGCACCACCTCGGCGCCTTCGCTCGAGTCGAGGTCGCCCATGACCCACACGGTCGAGTTGACGTACTGCGCCTCGTCGTGGGTCTCTGCCTCGCCCTGGCTGGCGCTGTCGGAGTAGAGGAAGCGGTTGAGCACCTCGGCGTCGCCGCGCCCGTCCTTGAGCGAGTGGAGAGCCGACACGATATCGCCAGGCGCGAACGTGACGCCCTCGTGCTGCGGCGCATCTTCGCCGCCGTCGAGGGTCGCAACGACGGGTGGGAAGACGAGCTTCGAGCGGAACTTGAGCGTCTCCGGCTGGTCGTAAAAGACGGTCTCGAGATTCTCGCTCTCGGCGGTCAAGTGGCGCTGGTAGATGGCCGGCGCGAGGATCTGGATCTGGTCCTGGATCTTCTGGTGCAGCATCTGGATCAGCTGGCTGCCAAACGGCACGTGCTGACCGTTGACAAAGACGTGCCCACGCGGGCTCTCGGCGGTGGAGGCGCGCAGACGGGCGATGTAGGCGCGGGCCATCTTTTCGCGCTGCTGGTGTCGCGCAACCCTGCCCTGGACCACGTCGTCGAGGCGTTGTGCGACCTCTCCAGGGGCCAGGTGGGCGTGCAGGATCAGCGAAGCCTCGTTGCGGGCGCTCTTGACGTCGACGCGGCTCTCGCCCCCCTTCTTTGATGAGGCCAGCTTGCGCAGGTAGCTCGTGGCCGCCTCGCTGCCGCCGAGGTCGAACACTTCCCAGAACAGCCGCGCCAACTTGGCGCTGTCGCTGCTCGCGTCTTGACCCTCGAGTCCGCCGGGCACCAGGCCCCAGTGCAGGCCGACCTTGCCGATGCTGGGCCCGATGCTTTCCGAGAGGAAGCGGCAGGACTCGCGGCGGCCGAGGTCGAGCACCATGACGACGTTGAACAGGTTGAGCGAGATCTGCGGGAACTGGCCCGGCCACATGGGTCGCAGCAGGTTGAAGAGGTCCTTGCTCCAGCGCGAGGTGGCGCCCTTGGTCACGTCGTTCCACCAGGTGATGGCGCCCGGCGAGGCAGGGTCTGCCGCGCCGCTGTTCTTGTCGACCTCGGAGAGTAGCTGCTGACGTTCGAGGCGATCGCTGGCATCGAAAAAGGCCTGTCCGAGTGACTGGTCGGACGAGGCGACAAAGGCGCGGCCGATTAGCAGCGACGAGATCAAGTCGACGGCCATCTCGGTATCGAGCACGCCGCCCGCCAGACGCCCGAGTAGGGGAGCGATCAGCCTCCTCTCGTCGTCGAGCGTCTTGATCAGTCTGAGTGGGCTAAAGTCCTGGCTGTCGAGGCTCTTGCCATTGAGCCAGAGCTCCGACGCTCCCGACTTGACGCGGTGGTCGCCGAGAGCCAGCAGCGAGTTGACCATGTCGGCATTGTCCCAGTCTGCGAGCTTCGACGAGCGTGCGAGCCTCTCGGCGTAGAGCGGGAAATTCTGCGACAGCTCCTCGAGCGCGCGGAGCGGGTCAGACGAGCTGGCGACGACGTGGGCCGCTCGTATACCGAGCTCGTCGATCTCCTCCTTGGTCAGGGCCGCCCTCGCTTCCTTGGCCAGCTCTGCCACCGCGTCGTCGCCGGTGTTGATCTTGGCGGGGAGCGCCTGGCCGATCTGCTGCTCGATCCAGGCTCGATTCTCGGCGCTCTGCTCCCGATGGCCATGGTCCTCGCCGTCGGAGGCGCCATCGTCGAGCTGCCCGACCTCGGCATCCTCGCGCAGCTTTCGGTCGTCGATGACAAGGTAGTCGACCTTTTTGAGGTCGAGGTAGGCGCCGTAGCCGGCGAGGTAGAGGGTCGAGTCGTCGTGCAATTTCGGCGGCGTCGCTTGCGCCGCGCCGTCGGCTCTTTTGTCATCTGCCGAAGGCCTCCAGCGCAGGACGTACGAGATGCGATGGCCTCCCTCGGCCTCTCTGTGGCCAGTGGCGTAGGCCTCGAGCAGCGAGTGAAGACCCCAGAAGTTGAAGGAGAAGGGGTCGCCGTAGAGGATGAAAGTGAGGTCGGGGCCGTGTCCATGGGCACTGCGAGACGATGACTGCGACACTGGGCTGCGGGCTGGCAGGACGTGGTCAAAGGGGAGCAGTCGGACCGGCGGCTGCTGCTGACGATGCTGCTGTCCGGCTGCCTGCCTGATGGCCTGCACCACCTCGTCCTCGTCGCAGAGCACCTGCCCCTCGAAGTCGACCCAACTGTGGCAGCGCTCGACGCCGTGCTTGTAGGTCCGGGCCTTTTGGCTCCACCTGTGGTCGAGGTTGAGGGTGCGGTAGAGCTGCATGAAGGCCTGCACCCTCGGACTCTGGTCGTGGAGGGCGAGCGAAGTGTGCCATAGCTGGAGGGCGGCATCGACGGAGGCGCGCTGGTCCTCGTCCTTGTCCGTGCCGAAGAGGTGGGATGACCTGATGGCATCCTCTGCCTGCGAGACGAGCTGGCGGTCCGAGAGGCTGGCGAGGGTGGGGCCGGGGTGTTGGAGGTGGTGCTTGCCCTTGTGGTGCCGGTGGCGGTGGCTGGTTGCTTTGGCGTCGGGATGCGCCGTTGCAGCTGCTGCTGAGGATGAGGAGTCGGCTGCGTTCCAGGGTGCGGTGAGTTGGGTGACGAGCGGGAAGAAGCTGTCGGGTGCGCGAGCGTTTGCGGCCTCGAGGATCTCGAGGAGGAGCGAGGAGGCGTTGTTGGAGAGGCTGGGCTTGGTCCAGGGGGCTCTCAGCTGTACCTTTATGGGCGGCGATGGTTGCGTAGGTTCGGCAAGCGCTGTGAGTGTGGATATCCCGAGGGCCAGCAGGACGAGGAGCAGGGGGCGAAGCGCGGCGGCCCGCATGGTGAGAGTGGCGGTGCCGTCAGGCCGGTGACGGTGGGTGTTGTACAGGGCCTGGAGTGGCGATGGCCGGTGAGGGCGAGCGGCGAGCGGCGAGCCTAGTTGCGAGCGACGAAGGAAAAGAAGCCGAGCCTGCTCGGGTGGTCCAGGAGGTGGTTGTGGTGGTGGTGTCGAGCAGCAGACGAGGTGCGGGCGGAACACCGAGCAACAAGCTCGAGGCAGCGAGCTGGCTGATGTGGAGCCCCCTCGCGGCCCCACCTTTGCTGCCGTGGGCCAGCGAGGCAGGCCCCAATCCGCCGCCGAAGCCAAAGCCAAAAGGGCGTGGAAATTCCAAAGTCAAAAACCAGGGTCTACGGCGCACGCACCACCCGGCCTGCTTGCCAGTCAGGCTGCAGGCTGGGCCAGGCTTGGCTTCGGCCGCCTGGTTCCTGGCCCGCTTCCCAGACCGCCTGCCTCACTTGCTTGCTTGCTTCCTCTCCACCACTGCCGCCACTGCCGCCACTGCCGCCACTGCCGCCACGCCTCCTTCGACCTTGCCATACCGCATCCACGCCCCACGACGGCCCATACACGCACCTCTCGGCGACCTGCCACCCTCGAGTCGCGCAACCGACCTCACACCGACCTCGCCGCGCACCACCATGTCGCGCGATCCATACCACGACTTTGCGGCCGACCTGCGCACCTCGCTCGCCTCGGCCCGCTCCCTCTCCCAGACCTACACCCAACTCCTCTCATCCTCCTCCTCCTCCTCGTCATCGTCGCAATCCTCGGCACGGGGGCGGCCGAAACGCTCCGACGACCTCCAGTCGGCGCACGATCGGCTGGCGGATGCGCTCGAGGGACTGCGGCAGGACGTCGAAGACGTAAAGCAGAGCGTACAGGTCGTCGAACGCAGCGGGCCAGAACGCTTCGGCGTCTCCCCAGACGAGCTACACAGCCGCAAACGCTTCGTCAGAGAGTGCGAGGACGAGATCGCAGTGAGTGGTGCAACGCCCTGCATGCTCGCTCGCCGTGCCATCGACCGTCATCGGATGCTAAAGCACCCACGACTCACACCTCCTTCCGGCCCTCCCTTGGGTGACCGCACCGGCACCCGCAGCAACTATCACGGACAGCACAGCATCCCCCATCGAGCGGAAAGGAAAAGTACAGCGACGGGTTCCAGGCCATCGACATGGACGATCCAGATCAGGATGCCACAGAGGCTTTTGAACGAGAGCAGCAGCAGGTGAGCCTCCCCCCCCCCCACGCCGCCGCCGTCGCCATTGCAGGGCACACAGGGACGGACAGAGGAAGGCCCTCCATCGCTCACCTCTGAACCGCCTCCACGTACATGCGCACACACACACACGACGCGGACGGACCCACGGCAGATGCTCATGTCGCGACAGGACACGACGCTGGATTCCATCGGGGCGACGCTCGTCAGCCTGCGCTCGCAGGCGGGCACCATGGGCCAGGAGATCGGCGAGCAGGTCGAGCTCATCGGCGCCCTCGATAGCGAGGTCGACAGCAGCCAGGGCAGGCTGTCCAAGGCCATGCGCCAGATGGACGAAGTCGTACGCATCAGCGACGAACGCCTCGGCGGATGGTGCGTCTGGATCCTCGTCATTGTGAGTCGCGTTTCAGAAGCTGCGACGTCGACCCGTGGCGCAGAGGGTTGCAGCCGCTGACAGCCTCGTCCCCTCCTCGCTCCTCGCTCCTTGTCGCCGTGGCCGCCGTCATCGCCGCCGTCGCGCGCGCGCGGGTGTTGCACCGTCTCGAATGTGCAGGTGCTCTTTATCTTGCTCTTGATGGTCATTTTGATATGACCAGGCCGGGCGCCCGCTCTCGAGGCGAGGCGAGGCGAGGCGAGGCGAGGCGAGGCGAGGCGAGGCGAGGCGAAATAGAACAGACGTCTATTGCAGGCAGGCGGACGGAGGCGTGCGTGCGGCCAGCCAGCAGTCCGCAGACCGGCTGACTTGGGATCCCTTGAAGCTGCCAAACGATCGGCCAGGTGGGAGAGGGCAGCGACACGACATCTCAACGGACGTACCTGACCAGCGCATCGCATCGCATCGCATCGCATTGCATCGGAGACGGGGCGGTCGGGGCAAGGAGCGGCAGCGAAAGCAGGTTCGGTCAGTCCGACGTCTACTCGGGCACCTCCACGGCGCGATCCGACTCACGATGCGTCAATCTGCGAGAGCTGCGGCAGGAGCAGCTTGATTTTGCGCCGGTACGCGGGTCCCTCGGTGCGCTGGACCGGGTTGCCCTCGAGGTAGACGGTCTCGAGCTTGGGCATCAGCTTGGGTCCCAGCTGGCTCTCGAGGTTGTTGAGGTCCTTGATCTTGTTGTCATTGGCCTGCAGAGGAAGCCGAGGGGCGGTGCGTTCAGAGGGGAGGGGATTTTCAAGGCCGGGTTTAGGGTTCAGCAGAGGCCAGGCGAGGAGGAAGAGGCCGGGGGAACACCGACGGGCGTGCGACGATGGGAGCGCCGTCGACCACGAGGTACAGGCAGCGCAGCACCACTCACCCAAAACTCCTCGAGCTCGGCGAGGTGCGCGACGTTTTCGACGACCTCGATCTGGTTGCCGCTGACGTCGAGCGTGGTGAGGTTGCGGTTGTGGTCGAGGCCCTCGATGCGGGTGAGGCCGTTGTGGGAGATGTAGAACTGCTCGAGGTTGACGAGCGAGTCGAGGCCCTCGATGCGCGTGATGCGGTTCGACTGGATCGAGAGGATGCGCAGGTTGACGAGCGTCTCGAGGCCGCGGAGCGACGTGATCTTGTTCTTGCCCAGCCACAGCTCGGTGAGGGCGTGGAGGTGGCCGAGGTTGTCGATGCTGCGCAGCCGGTTGCCGCCGAGCTCGAGGCTGGTGAGGGACTGGGCGATGGGGCCTTGCAGGTCGTCGGGGCGCACCTTTGAGATCTTGTTTTGGACAAAGTAGAGCGTCTTGCAGCTGCCGAGGTGAGAGACGTTGGAGATGTGGTGGATGTTGTTGAACGAGAGGTCGAGCGACTCGAGCTTGTCGAGGCGGTCGAGGCCCGAGATGCGCTCGATGCTGTTGTCGTAGAGGTCGAGGTCGCGCAGCTCGGTGAGCACGCCAATGTCCTTGGAGCGCATCTTGGCAATCTCGTTCTGGCGCAGGCAGAGGCGGCGCGCGCTGCGCTGGAAGCGCGGCAGGCCGAGGTTGCGCGTGCTGCTGATGCGCAGGTGGCTCAGGTCGAGGATCTCCTCGGTGTCCGGGTAGCTGGCCAGCAGCTCCGAATCGTCCGGGATCTCGTCGCGCGACGGCAGCGCATCGAGTTGGCCGTTGGCAGGTCCTCCCGTCTGCACCGTCACGGCGCCGTACTGGACCGTCTGCGACTGCGGGCCGGACCCCGCTGGCCCGGCCGCGCCCGTGGCAGGCTGCTGCTGCGGCGGCTCATCTTCCTCTGTCTGCGGATCCTCTTCCTCGTCGTCGCGGTGATGGGTGTCGTCGTCGTCGTCGGAGTCATCGTCGTCGTCGTCGTCGTGCTCGCCACCTGTGGGCTTGTCTGCAGGCAGCGTGACTTTGGGGGGCAGGTCGCCGACGATGCGGACGCGTGCGTCGTTCGAGGTGGCCGCAGAAGGTGGCGATTGCTGCTGCTGCTGCTGCGGCGGGGGCGGATGGGCTGTGCCCGCGGTCTCTTCGGAGCTCATGGTCGTTGCAAGATGAGACGATCAGCGTTGGTAGCAAGAGCGAGGGAGGAGGCAGGGTGCAAGCGGTGCTCCGAGTGAGGAACAGGAAGCGGGCAAGAGAGGAAGGGATGGCAGGCAGGGTCGAGCGAGGTGTTGGACTGCGCTCGAGACGACAGCGCCGAGGGCCAAAGCGTGTTGCCAGAACCCCTCTCTGCCTTGGTTGGACCTGCCAGCCCTCGCACCGCCTGGGCCAGTCTCCACAAATTATTCGACTCAGCGCCGCCCAAGCCCGGGCCGGGCTCTCATCGGGGGTCGCTGGGCTGCATCGGGCCTGCTAGGGCATCGCATCGTCCGTCTTCAACAGCACCGGCGGCCACCATCAACATCACCCGTTGGAGGCACGCCGAGCGCTCGGTCTCTCTCAGCTGGCTCTCTTTCCCTCTCGTGAGGCGATGCACGCGTATCGACGGCTCGAGGAGGATCATTTGGGCCGTGACGAAGCCGATGGGCCATCGAAGATAAACCGGGTGACGTCGGCTTCGGATCGAGCCGAAGCCCAGCCTCGCCCGACCGCTCTGGCTCGCCCGCCTGTCCCGTAGGCAGGGATGCCTTGCTTGCTGTCTTCCCCTAGGCCTGCCTGGTCCTGCTCGCTTTTGCTCTCCCCGGCGGAAAGAGCTCTATCTGTCGGCTGACCGTCACTACTCGGCATGGAAGCGGAGCGAAGCGCGCAGAAGGCCGGGGGAGGCAAGCTGCGTGAGGCAACAGCCCAGGCGGCCAGCGTTATCAGATCGGGAAGGACGAGGCTAGGGGGCGGGGCAGCTGGCCTGGCCTGGCCTCGCTCGGCTGGACGGCAGCTGAACCCCACCTGCGCTCGTCAGCATCTGCATCATCGATCCAGCCGCCTGCCTGCTGCGACCTCGACTTCGACGGCTCAACCTGGACCGCAACCACCGACCCCTTTTTGGGCAGGTTTGAGATATCCAAGCGCAAGCTTGCTTCACGTTGCCTGCCCGCCTGCAGCCTGGCCTGCCTAGGCTAGAGCGGCATCGCACTCGCCACCGAGAGCCGATGACGGCTGTATCGGAGGCAAGGTCCCGAACAATCGTGAAGGCGCTAGGCGAGCCTGTCGTCGTCGACGCCACCCTCGGCAACCGACCCACCGCGTACTGTACTGTACCGTACCATGCGATGCCTTAGTTTGAGGACGAGATACGATACGATAGATGTACGTACGACCGTACGGCATGGCCTGGTCTGGCTTCACGTACAGCACATCGCGCACGCTTGTTCGTCGAGCACCCATGCCATGGCGACCAGAAGAGGCTAGGCTGTCGCTGCGAACCGAAAGAAAAGGCGCTCATCGCCCCTTCTGACGACGTCGTTGGCTGCGCTGGCGGCAGGATGAGCGCCACCCTTCTCTCCGTGCCTGCCTGGCCCCACTTTCTTCTCTGAGACGTATCTTCGCCTCGCATACGTCCCAGACGGGCGGTGACGAAAGGCGAGAAGCCAGCTTGCAAGCCGAGGCAGCGGGAAGAAGGGCGAGAGTCCGGCGAGCAGCCGATGTTGAGCTTAGAGATCAGCTGCTGGCCAAGCTGCTGCTTGCTTGCCAAAGGGCCTCGCTCGGGACCAGCCAAGCAGCATGGCATCGCATCGCAGGCCAGGCCATCCATGCGAGACGTTGCGACCGGAGTTGAGCGAGGTGAACCCTGGTCTGGCCGGTTGGCTGGCTGAGTGCTGGCGGTCAGAGAGAAGCAAGAGCAGGCAGGCCTCGCCAGGTCAGGCCTCGCTTCGCCTCGCCTCGCCTGGTTCCGTCCGTCTGCGACAGGCAGGACTACTACCTACTCTCGCGACCGGATCGGAGCGCAGCATGTCCCTGCCCTCGATCGGCCGGCTGCAGTCGAGGATCGTGGCCACAAACGAGCCGCCAGCAGACCAGTCGGAAGAAACGCCAGCAAGCAAGCTCGCTCGGCACAAGATCCGGGGAGCTCAGCTGAGATGATGTGGCTGCTGGTCAAAGGGAGAGGCTAGGCGGATGGTACCGCATTGTCCCCTTGCCAGGCTGGTGGTCGTCTCGCATGCTCTCTGCTGCCGGCTGCCCCGCGTGTACCCCCGTGCAGCACCAGCCATGCCACGCCGGTGGATGTTGCCAAGCCTTGCGTACGGCGTCGTCGCTGGTTGGCGTGTGTCGTCTGGTCGTGACCAACAGAGCCCGCTTGCCAGCCAGCCAGCCAGCCAGCCAGCCAGCGGGCCAGGAACATGGACGGAACAGCGGTAGGGGAGGGAGGCGGTCTACACATCAGCGAGATGGTGCTGCACCAACAGCCAGCGAACCGCGCGCGTATGTCAACGCCGCCCACTAGCCAGCCGGCCAGGCGCCTGCTTGCTTGTTGGCATGACGACGGGCACCAGCCCTGCCTGCCTGCTAGCCTGCTGGCATGAAACCCATGCATATGTCGGGGGCAGCAGCCAGCTGGCCAAGTGAGGTGAGGCGAGGTGAGCAAGGTGGCCGCGCCGTCTTCAGTGCGGCGCAAGGGGCGACGAAAGCCCTCTACTGCAGTCGCATCGCAACGAGCGTAAGATCAGAGCCGCGCCGCGACGACGGACGGCGGCGACAACGACAACGACGGCGACGGCCACGACCACGGCCACGGCGAAAGACAGGTCGACCCACCGGTCCGGCCGGCTGGCCTTCNGCGTGTCGGNGGTACGGCCTTGGAGACGTCGG